CAACCTGAAGGCAGATAGGGAGGAGGATGCACGGGTGTTGGGGGTGCAGCAGCACTCGTACCTGCATGGAAGCTTGTCCTACCTCTGCACAAGGTGGACTCCCAGTGATTGTTTTTGGGAGGGGAAGGTTTCTGTTGCCATCAGAAACAGATGGACAAAGGATAGGAGTATCAGTGTAGCTGGGCACAGTGGCTCACATTTGTAATCCCAGCACTTTGGGAGGCTGAGGTGGGCAGATCACAAGGTCAGGAGTTCGAGACCAGCCTGGCCAACATGATGATGAAACCCTGTCTCTACTAAACATACCAAAAATTAGCTGGGTGTGGTGGCACGTGCCTGTAATTCCAGTTACTCGGGAGGCTGAAACAGCAGAATCGCTGGAACCCAGGAGGCAAAAGTTGCAGTGAGCGGAGATCACACCATTGCACTCCAGCTTGGGCAACAGGGCAAGACTCCATCTCAAAGGAAAAATAAATAAATAGGTGGAAAATAAACAGTTCAGCTTACCAGGAACATACTTTGTAGAAGAAAATGTCATAATAACTCCAGACCAGGGAGGCATCCTCAAACCCAGCTCTAAGATGGCAGTTAAGGCACAGTGGGGAAGGGACGCCAGCTTTGCAGCCAGGCAACTCTGAGATCTGCCCTTCCTGACTGTGTGACCTCGGGTGATTTACTTAATGTCTCCAGGCCCCTAATCTTCCTCATCTATAAGTGGACGTAGTAATACCCAGCTTATAGGGTCATGGGGAAGATAAAAATGTGAAACTTGATGTAAAGAACTTAGCACAGTACTTGGAATGTTAATAGAATGGAAGAAATGATTGTTATTATCATTAGTCACACTACTTTTTATTTATTTATTTATTATTCATTTATTTTTTGAGAGGGAGTCTTGCTCTGTCACCCAGGCTGGAGCATAGTTGCTCAATCTCGGCTCACTGCAACCTCCACATCTTGGGTTCAAGCAATTCTCCTGCCTCAGCCTCCCGAGTAGCTGGCACTGTAGGCAGGAACCACCACACCCGACTAATTTTTTTGTATTTTTAGTAGAGATGGGTTTTCACCATGTTAGCCAGGCTGGTCTTAAACTTCTGACCTCAAGTGATCCTCCCACCTCAGCCTCACAAGGTGGTGGGATTATAGGTGTGAGCCACTTGCCCAGCCCATTTTTTAAAAACAATTTCAGGCCAGGTGTGGCGGCTCATACTTGTAATACCGGCACTGTGGGAGGCCTAAGTGGGCAGATCACTTGAAGTCAGGAGTTCGAGACCAGCCTGGACAACATGGTGAAACCCCATCTAAAACAGAAACAAAAAAGGTCTGGTGGTGTGCACCTGTGATTCCAGCTACTGGGGGGCTAACGAGGCAGGGTCACTTGAGCCATGATTGCAACATTGCACCCCAGCCTGGGTGACAGAGTGAGACCCTGTCTCTCACACTCACACACAAACACACACTCACACACACACACACACAAAAACTCACACAAATGTTTCCACCTGTGTAATTTTATTTGATGAAAGTTATATATGGCTGGGCATGGTGGCTCACACCTATAATACCAGCACTTTGGTAGGCCGAGGTGGGCAGATCACCTAAGTTCAAGAGATCGAGACCAACATGGCCAACATAGTGAAACTCCATCTCTACTTAAAAGAAAAGAAAAAAAAATTAGCCAGGCCTGCTGGTGCACTCCTGTAGTCCCAGCTACCGGGGAGGCGGAGGCAGGAGAATAGCTGGAGCCCAAGAGGTGGGCGCTGCAGTAAGCTGAGATCTTGCCACTGTACTCCAGCCTGGGCCACAGAGTGAGACTCCCTCTCAAAAAAATAAACCAATTGGTAGGGCGTGGTGGCTTGCACCTGTAATCCCAACACTTTGTGAAGCCAAGGCAGGTGAGTTACCTAAGGGCGAGCTTTCAAGACCAGCATGACAGACATGGAGAAACCCTGTCTCTACTAAAAATTCAAAAATTAGCTGGGCATGGTGACATGTGCCTGTAATCCCAGCTACTTGGGAGGCTGAGGGCAGGAGAATGGCTTGAACGAAGGAGGCAGAGGTTGCGGCGAGCCTGGGTCACACCACTGCACTCCTGCCTGGGCAACAAGAGTGAAACTCCATCTCAAAATAAAATTAAATTAAGGGTGCGTGTGTGTGTGTGTGTGTGTGTGTGTGTGTGTACATATATATAGGGAATCATTAGTATATGATTATATGGAATCTATGTCTAGAATATATACATGGGATCTTTTTACATGATTTCTTTTGATATATGCAGAATCATCAGTATATGATTATATATGGAATGTAGGTATGGAATCTTTTGCGACTGACTTTTCTTAGTCAGCATAATACCCTTGAGGTTCATCTGAATTGCTGCTAATTAGCCCACTGATCGTTGGGATTGGTTGCAGTTTTTGGCTATTGTGAACAAAGCTGCTATGAACACAGGTTTTTTGTTTGTTTATTTGTTTGAGATTAAGTCTTGCCCTGTCACCCAGGTTGGAGTGCAGTGGCACAATCTCGGCTCACTGCAACCTCCGCTCCCAGGTTCTAGCAATTCCCTGTCCCAGCCTCTCGAGTAGCTGGGATTACAGGTGGGCACCACCATACTCAGCTAATCTTCGTATTTTTAGTTGAGCAGGGTTTCACCATGTTGGTCAGGCTGGTCTCAAACTCCTGATCTTGTGATCCACCCGCCTCAGGCTCCCAAAGTGCTGGGATTAGAGGCGTGAGCCACCACACCCGGCCTGTTTTTGTTTTTTAAATGTGAACGTAAGTTTACATTTCTCTGGAATAAATGCCCAAGATGGATTGTATGTTAAGTACATATTGAGTTTATAAGAAATTACTAAAGTATATTCGAGAACAGCACTCGATATACTTTATAATAGAAAATATATTCTCATCGGCAATGTATAAATGATCCAGTTTCTCCAGCATTTGGCACTACTGCGATGTTTTATTTAGCCATTGATAAGTCTGTGGTAATATTCTGATAGGTCCGTAGTAATATTGTGGTTTTAATGTTCACTTCCCTATTGGCTAATGATGTCAAATACCTTTTTCATGCACCTGCCATCCACATATTGCTTTGGTAAAATCTTTGCTTCTGATTTTCTTTCAATTTTTAAAATATTGTGGTAATTTAGACTTAACATAAAATCTACCATCCTGACTGTTTTTAGGTACAGGGTTGAGTCACATTAAACATATTAAATATATTCACAATGTCACCCAATCGTCACTGCCATCTGTCTCCATTTCTTTTTCTTTTTCTTTTTTTGAGACAGAGTCTCCTTCTGTCACCCAGTGCAGTGGCAGGATCATGGCTCACTGCAACCCCACCTCATTCTACTTTCTGTCTTCACCTTTTTGAATATTATTATGTTTTTGCTTTTGTTTTGAGACCGTCTCGCTCTGTCGCCCAGGCTGGAGTACAGTGGCTTGATCTCGGCTCACTGCAACCTCTGCCTCCTGGGTTCAGTGATTCTCATGCTTCAGCCTCCCAAGTAGCTGGGATTACAGGCATGTGCCATCATGCCCGGCTAATTTTTGTATTTTTAGTAGAGATGTGGTTTCAGCATGTTGGTCAGGCTGGTCTTGAACTCCTGACCCGGCCGGACAAGGTGGCTCACACCTGTAATCTCAGTCAGCACTTTGGGAGGCCAAGATGGCAGATCACAAGGTCAGGAGTTTGAGACCAGCCTGGGCAACATGGTGAAACCCTGTCTTTACTAAAAATCAAACATTAGCCACGCACGGTGCCGGGTGCCTGTAATCCCAGCTACTCGGGAAGCTGAGGCAGGAGAATTGCATGAGCCAGGGAGGCGGAGACTGCAGTGACCTCAGATCTGCAACCTCCTCCTCGGGTTCAAGCGGTTCTCCTGCCTCAGCCCCTCCAGTAGCTGGGATTACAGGCGGGCGCCACCACGCCCGGTTAATTTTTGTATTTTTAGTAGAGACGAGGTTTCAGCATGATGGCCAGGTGGCTGGGATTCCCCCGCCTCGCCCCAGATCCCCGGGAGGCCAGCACGGCCCTCCCATGGGTGTCACAGAGACAGATGCGATGCGGGTCCCTCTCCCTGGGAAGGGGCGGGCTGGGTCCAGTCCGCCGGGCCCCTCCGGGCGCTGACCTAGGATGGAGTTGAGGTGCTGCGGCGCTGGACCCCAGGGCCCCTGCCTGCCTCCTGGGGAGCCGGGTGACCCAGGCAGCCCCGGTGAGGCCCCCCCGGGCTCCCACAGGACGGATGCGGACAGGGAAGCCGGGGAGGCCTCCCTGCTGGACTGTCCCTGCAGCCCCCAGCTTTCCGTGGTTCTAAGGGCCCCCTCTGCAGAGGGACCAGGGAGCCCGCCCTGCATCCTGAGGCGCCGCGCTCGAGGGACCCCACAGCTCAGGCCAGGCCGCTTCCTTTGCGGATCGTGAAGCTGAGGTCCAGAGGAGGGCAGGGGCAGGCCCTGGAAGCTCCCCAGGCAAAGGGAGCCGATCTCGGGGCTGGGGTCACAGGGCTCCACTCCTGTGATCTCTAGGGACCTAGAGCCGGGAGGAGAGACTGGGGGGCCTTTCGTCCACCGCTGGGGCTGGGCAGAGGCTCATCCTGGGCCGCAACGCGAAGCTGCTCCTGTGCAGTCCGAGCCGCGGCCCCTTTAAGAAGGGGTGGTGCTTCAGCCAGTCGCTAGGGACGCTGCGGGCGTGCGCGCCTCTACGGAAGCCGAGACGGCGCTTTCCGCGGGGCCCGGGCAGAAGCCGCGGCGTGGTTGAACCGAACTGAAGCGGCGGCGATGTGGTCGGAGCGAGCGAAAGCGGCGGCCAGAGTCTGGGGCGTCGTCCTAGTGGGCAGAAGCGCAGTCGACGTCCCAGCGAGCAGAAGCGACCGCGCGGTCCCAGCCGGCAAAAGCGGAGGCCGCGTCCCAGCGAACAGAAGCGGCGAGCTTCGGAGAAGCCGTGGTGGCTTCCCTGTGATGGAGGAGCAGGAGGGACGCTTCCGCGGTAAGTGGCGGGGCATGGACCCCCCCGGGAACCCTCCGGGCCTCCCTGCTCCTTCCCCACCGCTCGCTTTTGGGCCCTGACTCCTTGTGGGCATCTGGGCCCCAGTAGTCTGCGTGGCGGTGGTTGTGGGGTCCTGGCCGCCGCAGCGTGCGCACCCTGGCCGGGAACGGTGTGCGACCCGCGTCCAGCCTGTAGGAGCACCTGGCCCAGAGGCCGGTGAAGCGCGGGACCTGGGACCCTCCGAGCCCCGGGCCCTCTGAGCTGAGGTCCAGGGTTATATGATGTTTCGGGACCTTTAGAGAGAGACCTCGCTAGAACCAATAGAACAGGTGACATTTGTAGTGTGAATTCTTTGAGGAGTCTCCAGGTAGTTCGCTGTTTTCCGAGGTGTCTATTCTGATTCTCATTTACAGTGTATGAGTTCCCTTCTCTCCAAAACCATACCCGTGTTCCTTTTTTTTTTTTTTTTTTCCTTTGGAGACAATCTCGTTCTGCCCCGGCGGGAGTGCAGTGGTGCCATCTGGCTTCTCTGCAACCTGCGCTCCCGGGTTCAAGCAATTTTCCTGTCTCAGCCTCCTGAGTAGCTGGGACTACAGGGGCCCGCCGCCACGCCAGGCTGATTTTTGTATCAGTAGTAAAGACGGGGTCTCTCCATATTGATCAGGCTGGTCTCAAACTCTTGACCTCAGGTGATCTGCTGCCTCGGACTCCCAAAAGTTCTGGGATTACTGGCGTAAGCCACCGAGCCTGGCCTCTCCTGTTTTTAAAAAACTTTCTAGGAATATTCAGTAAGTGTGAGATTATGTGTGGGTTTCAGTTAAACCACACACAGTTAATTAACTGTTGGATAGTTAATTTTGAGGACCTTTTACCTGTTGTTCGATTTTCTGTCGCAGAATTGTCTGTTCAGGTCCTTTGCGAAATATTAGATTCTTTTGCTACTTTGTAGTGTTTTTTTGTGTACACCTTAGATGACAACTCATGAATTACATGATTACCTGAAATTTTTGCCTAATCTATAGGACGCTTTTTTAATTTGGAAGGTAGTTTCTTTGCGGTGCAGAAACTTTTCAGGTTGATGTAGTCCATGTTTATTTTTGCGCTTTATGCATGTAATTCTGGTCACCCATATAAGAAAATACTTCTCAGTGACAAAGCATTTAATTGTCAAGGAGGTTTTCCTTCCAGGGTGTTTGTTTCTTTCCTCTCTTTGCAAAGGTGAGCAGAGTCACGTGACCCAGAATATATGCTCAACCTACGTTTTAGTTAAAACATTTTGTGCTATATGGTCTTTTGTTCTGGTCTTTGGGGGTTTTTTTGGTTTGTTTTTTGCAAGGGGGGGAGTTGATTTTCATATATCATGTAAAGTCAGGGTCCTGTTTTTCTCTTCTGCATTCAGATAGCATTTTTCTCAAAGGTATTCATTGAGCAGACTCTGCCTTCCACACTGCGGTGGTCTTTATTAAAGGGAGTTGACTGTGTCCATATTTGCGTTGATCTTATTTTGTCCTCCCCATTTTTATCCACAATTCTAGGTTTGTTTGTTTTTTTTTGAGAGACGGGGTTTCACTCTTGTTACCCAGGCTGGAGTGCAATGGTGTGATCTCCGCTCACCACAACCTCCGCCTCCTGGGTTCAGGCAATTCTCCTGCCTCAGCCTCCCGAGTAGCTGGGATTACAGGCACATTATCATGCCCAGCTAATTTTTTGTATTTTTAGTAAAGATGGGGTTTCACCATGCTGACCAGGATGGTCTCGATCTCTTGACCTCGTGATCCACCTGCCTCAGCCTCCCAAAGTGTGGGGATTACAGGCTTGAGCCACCGTGCCCGGCTAATTCTAGGTATTGATTTTATCCAGGTACCATATATGTGCTGCACAACTGCGGCTTGGCAGTGTGATTTAATATCCAGGATTGTGGGTCTTCACTTTGATTGAATTTCTCAGGATTCCTTTAGATATGAATTGCTTTTGTGGTTCCCTGTGATTTTTAGCAATGTGTATTTATTTCTGTTAACTTTTTTTTGCAACATAAAGGTGCATAATTAGGGGTACATTTTCACACGTATAGATTGGGTAATGATCAAATCAGGGTACTTAGGATCTCTGTTCCCTCATAAGGTATTATTTTTGTGTGGAGAGAACACATACAATTCTCCTAAAATACAATATTGTTAACTCCGGTCACCAGGCTGAGGAGAACACTCAGTTTGATTCCTTTAAAGTTAAGATAACTTTGCTTCCATAACCAATCCCTACTCCCCCTCTATCTCCCAGACAGACCCTGGTAGCCAATACTGCGCTTTCTACCTCTTTAAGACAGACATCTTAAGATTCAGTGTTTGCCTTTCTTGGCCCAGCTCATTATGTTTAACATAATGTTTTCCAGGTTCATCTGGGTTGCTCCACATGACACTGTTTCATCGTTTTGGTGGCCGAAGAATATTCCCTAGTGTATGCATATGAGAGTGTCTTGATCCCTTTATCTGTGGATGGACAGGTTGGTTGAGTGTATACCCAGTAGTGGGAATGCTAGCTGGTATGCTATTTTTCCTTTCTATTCTTTGCAGGACCCCCAACTGTTTATAGCATTAATACTAATATACGTTTCCACAAACAGTTCCCTTTGTGGAAATTCAAACTAGAAGTTGTCTTTTTAAATATTTTAATCTGTTTGTAATGTTCATTCTAGTTGGAGTGAGATAAGATCTGAGTGTGGCTTTGATCTTCATTTTTCTCGTGCATAGTAACGGTAACCACATTTTTGCAAATGTTGCATCAGTTTCTTGTCTGCACAAATATCTCTTCAGGTTATTTGGTTTGGTTATTTTTCTGATTTTTTTTTTTTTTTTTTTTGCCAGCCGGTGGTGTTACTGGCTTGTACCTTTTCAAAAATAACCCCTTATCCAACTGAATGTTTGCCCAAATGTTTCTTACAGTTTTTAGTATGCTTTTTCATTTTGTTCATTGTTTGTTAGACACAAACTCCTCAGTTTGACGTGGCCCCACATGTGTATGATTTCTTGGTTAGCTGTGCTGTTGGTTACTAATGAAGAAAAAACTCAACCACTACCAAAGCAGTCCATTGTCCACGATTTTCTTTTCCTTGTATTTTTGTTTTTGCAAATCGTGAGCATACATCCAAGTTGCAATAAATATCCGCACACCGAGGTTGTCTTTATAGGCGCTTTATGGTTACAAGTTTTGTGTATAATCTTTAATCCTTTTCAGTTGATTATTGTGTATTTCATACCATGAGAGTCCTGTATTATTCTTTTGCATATGGATACCTAGTTTTGAAAACCTTCCCCATTGTGTCAGTTTGGTAGTGTTTTGAAAAATGTATTCACTCTATATAAATTTCCGTTTATTATTAAACGCCCTCATTTTGCTCACTGGTCTGTGTTTCTCTGTGTTTACCAGTAGCATATGGGTTGGTTAACTAGGGATTTTCATTTAATTAGAACTCAGGGAATGTGATACATGCCACATGGTTTGTGTTTCTCAGGGTAACTGTGGAAATTCAGGGTGTTTCACATTTCCATATAAATTTTGGCATTGTTTGCTTTATATATCTTAAAACACCATTTCCCGTATATAATGAGAGGGTACAGGGAAGATTTTGATACATGTGTATTCTGAGTAATGATCAAATTGGGTTATTTAGCATCTCTTCACCTCGTATAGTTATGATATTTTTGTGTGGTAGCAACATTCAGAATATTTTCTTCTAGCTACTTGGAGACATATACATTTGTGTTAAGGCCAGTCACCCTGCTGTGGAATAGAAGACCAGAATTGATTGCTGTCATCTGAGGAAAGTTTTTACCCATTATTGATTCCTTCCCAGACCCTCTCCCTTTTCCCAGCAACCTCTAGTAACCCCTATTGAACTTTCTGCTTCTAGGAGGTGAAGATGTTTTCAGTCTGCATGCCTGGGATCGTGTGGAATGGGACTTTCTCTACCAGGCTCATTCGTTGGACCTGATGTTCTCCAGGTTTCTTCATGTGGCTGCAGATGGCAGGATTCCCAGAGCTTTATGGCTGGAACATACTCCATGGTGTATGTGAACAGCAGTTTTTTCATCCCTGCAGCTGCGGGTGGACAGGTAGGTTGGTTCTGTACTTTGGCCACAGTTACAAGTGCTTCAGTACCCATGGAAGGCAGATAGCTCTCTTCAGCCCAGGGATTTCAACTGCTTTAAATGTGGAACCAGTGGTGGGGCTGCCAGCTGACATGGTAGTTGTACCGTGAAGTTTTTCAGGAACCTCTTGCTGTTTCTCAGTGTGTGTATACTAGTTCAGGTCTCCACCAATAGTGTTGAAGAGGTCACCTTTCTGTAAGTCTACACTGGCTGACGCCTTCCAAAATTTGTGTTTTGTTTTTGGTAGTATTCATAGCGAGTGGAAGGAGACGGAATCTTAGCATGGTTTTCATGGACATTAGTGATGTGGAGAAAGTCATTTGAGAAATCCCCACGTTGCTTTCCATGGTGTCTGAACTGGTTTGCATTTCCACCAGCAGCAGAGCAGCGTCCCTGTCCTCTGCCTCGCCTGCATTCGTTCTTGTGGACTGTGTCCTAATCGTCATTCTGGCCAGTGTGAAATACTATCTCGTGGGCCTTTTGCTTTGCCTCTTTCTGATGCTGACTGAGGCAGAGAAGTGTTGTCATGTCTGTTGGTTGCTGTAAGCCTTCTTTTGAGGCGCGTGTTTTCATGCCCCTTGCCGTTTCTTCATTGAGTTTTTGTTTTCCTGGTTTATTTGCTTAACATCTTTAAGGTGGATCCGGGATATTAGCCTTCATCAGATGCACGCGTGGGAACATTTTCTCCCATTGTGCGGGCCGTCTGTTCACTCTGTTGGTCATTTCTTCTGTGCAGCAGCTCTTTGTGTATTAGGTGCCACTGGGCAATAATTGTTTTAGTTACACTTGCCTTTGGAGACTGAGACACATCCACGCTGTGCCAAATCCTCTGTCAGGAAGGGCGTTTCTAGGTTCTCTTGCAGGCTTTTCATAGTTTGAGGTCTTGTATTTACATCTTTCATTCATCTTGAGTTTGTGTCTGTACACCGTGAGACACGGGGCCCACTGTTTTTCTTCTGCAGCTGGCTAGTCATTTATGCCAGCGCCATCTATTGAAAGGAGGGAGTCCTTTCTCCAAAGCTGATTTTTGTGGATTTTGTTGAAGATCAGATGGTGTTAGGGGTGAGGGTTTCAGTCTGGGTCCTCTAATCTGTTCCACTGCTCTGTGTGGAATGGGGTCCCTAGCTTTTCAATGAAATTTAACATCAGGAAGTGTGACACAACCGAGGTAGTTTGGATTTCTCAGGATTGCTTTGGAAATTCAGTGTGTTTTATGGACCACATGAATTTTAGCATTGCATATTGACATAGTTTTTAAAAGGTTGGTCATGTGGTGAAGGTATACAATGTGGGGAGTTACAGTGGGGCATTTTGATTAATGCAGACACAGAGGAATGATCAAATCAGGATATTTAGAGCCTCTCTTATCAGAAACAGTTGTGAATTTGTTTGTGGTAGAAACATTTGGAATCTCCCAGATTTTGTGAAAAGGGTGTGATGTTGTGTTAACCTCTGGTCACTTGGCTGTGGACCAGTGAGGAACGATTCATTCCTCTCATCTAAGGGTAACTTTGTGCCTATTTCTGACCTCTGCCCGTGCCCCTTCTTCCCTCCAACCTTTAGTAACTACTATTGTGCTTTGTAGACCTATGCAATAAAGCCTTTTATTTTGGATTCTACATTAGTTGTTCTTTTTCTGCCTGTCTTAGGTCATACATGATGTCCTCCAAGTTCAACAGCGTGGCTCCAAATGATGACATTTCATTCCGGTTTTCTAGCTGAAGACGATTCTATTTGTGCACATACACCAGGTATCCCTTCATGTGTGGATGGGCAGGTAAGTCTATTCTTTGTCTTGGCAATTGTGAATAGTGCTGCAGTCCACATAGGATGACAGATGCCTCTTGCATGGACTGATTTCTTTCATCCTGAAAGTATACTTAGTAGAAGACTTGTTAGATGAAGTGGTAGTTGTAGGTTAAACTTTTGGAGGAAGCTTCCACTGGTGTCTGTAGTATGAATGCTAATTAACATTCTGAAGAAATGAGTTCCTCTGTGGAAATTGACAGCAGCATTTGCGTCTCTTTTAATGTATTTGATTGCCTTGATAACACCCGTATGAATTATAGTGAGATCATGTGTGTTGCTTTGATTTACATCTTTCTCGTGATTTGCGATATTTTCTAAGTTTTTAAAACTTGTTTTCAACGTTACGTCTTCTTTGCAGAAATGTCTGTTTAGGTTATTTGGTCCCAGTTTGCTTAGATATTAGTTTCTCTTTTGTGTTTTTGCTAGTAAGTAGCGTTTGTTGCTTAGACATTTTGAAGACAACCTTTCATCATATGTAGGTTTGCTGAAACCTTTCTTGTAAACTTCAGGATAATTTTTTTTTTTTTTGAGACGGAGTTTCGCTCTCGTTATCCAGGCTGGAGTGCTATGGCGCGATCTTGGCTCACTGCAACCTCCGCCTCCTGGGTTCAGGCAATTCTCCTGCCTCAGCCTCCTGAGTAGCTGGGATTACAGGCACACGCCACCATGCCCAGCTAATTTTTTGTGTTTTTAGTAGAGACGGGGTTTCACCATGTTAACCAGGATGGTCTCGATCTCTTGACCTCGTGATCCACCCGCCTCGGCCTCCCAAAGTGCTGGGATTAGAGGCTTGAGCCACCACGCCCGTCAGATTTTTTAGAAATCTGCTTTAGCACAAACTCTAACGTATGATGTAGTCCCACGTGTGTCTGTTTTCTTGTTGTCCTTTGATATAGGTGACTGATGAGGAAAAACAGAATCATGACCAAACTATCCCATCGCCTATGAGATTTTCACCCCATATTTTTTATTTTGTTTTGGCACACTGTGAGCACAGATCCACATTGACCTAAACATACCCACACCATGTGTCTTCTCATTGGAAGAGTTTGATGCTTTCGACTTTTGTTGATCAGTCTCTAATTCATTTTGAGTTAATCCTTGGTCTTTTTACACAGTTGGGGTCCTATTCTACTTACGTAGGGATATCCAGTTTTCAAATCCATTGACTAAACAGATTCCCCCCTCTTCATTGTGTCTGTCGGTGTTCTTTTACAAAACGTGTACACCACCTAGGAATTTGGGTTTGTGATCGAGCTCCCTCATTCTGTCTATTGGGTTTCTCGATTAGTGCCAGTCATCTGTTGTTTAGATAACTGGCTTCTCAATATAATTTCAAATGGAGGACAGTGATGCATTCCATGTACTTTGTGTTTTCAGTGTTGCTTTGAAATTCAGGGTGTTTCATGGTTCCATGTAAATTTTAGCATCATTGGTATTCTTTTTTTTTTTTTATAAAGTGATTACGCTAGAGCATATGTATATAACTAGAAGATACAGGGGCCATTTTGATATGTGTACACCTCGCATATTGATCGAATCACAATATTTAGCATCTGTGAAGTCCTCTAGGTATTATTTGTCTGTGGAGATGATACTCATAATCCCTTCCAGCTCTTTGGAAAATTCATTACAATATTAACCCTGGTCACCCTGCTATAGAAGAGAAGGGCAGGACTGATCTGTTTTCTAAGTGTAACTTTGTACCCAGGACCAATCCCTGCCTAGGCGCCCCTTCCCCACAGCCTCTGGTAACCACTATTGAACTTTGTGCTTCTGTGACGTCAAGTTGTTTCAGATTCCACGTGCATGAGATCATGCAGTATATGCCTTTCTCTGCCTGGCTTATTTCATTTAACATAATGTTCCTCAGGTTTTTCCACGTGGCCGCAAGTGACGAGATTTCACCCATTTCTACGATTAAAGAATATTCTGCTCTGGATGTATATTGCAGTTTCTTCATCCCTTCACAGTGGAAGAACAGGTAGGTGTATTTCCTATCTTGGCTATCGTGAGTCCTGCAGTACGGAGGGTAAGGCAGGTATCTCTTCCACGTAGGAATGGAATGATGGCTGGATGAAATGGGCGTTTTTACTTCGTTGGAGGCACTTCCAGCTGTTTTTCATAGTGTGTGTAGACACTGACATTCCCACCAATATGAAAATGAGTGTATGAGAAGAGTTTCCCCTTCTGAAAGTCTGTACTAGTTGTTTTTTTTTAAAAGTTTTCTTTCTGTTTTAGGTAGCATTCATTAGACGTGGATGGAAGCGGCATCTCAGTGCAGGTTTCCTTGACATTCTTGTGAGGATTAGCGCTTTTGAGAGACTTTTCTTTTACCTGTGAGTCAGTTTCCCATCTGCTTCGCAGACACGTCTGTTCAGGTCCTTTGCCCAGACTTAGCTTGGGTGTTTGTTTTTGTTTCCCCCACATGGTAGTGTCAGTGTCTTTCACAGATTTTATAACGACCCCTTTCAAAGACAGGATTTTCCATAGTTTTCTTTCAGTCTGTGAGGCACCTTCTCTTCTGTTCGTTGTTTTCTTTTCACAGCATAAGATCTGATGTTTTCCGTAGTTCCACCTGTTTACATATTAGTGTTGACTTCCACGTGCAGTTAAAAACAGTGAAAAAGATTGCCAATCCATGGCATTGGCTATGTTTTTTTCCTTCTAATTTTCTTTTTATATTTCACATTTTGCAACTTGTGTGCATAGATTAGTTTTCTAAACTATGTGCTTACCTGTTGCTTCCTGAGGGGAGGAGATGGTTTCAAGATTGAGTTTAGGCCTTCCATGTAATTTACATCGATTTTTGTCCTATTTCAGTGTTTTTCATGTGGTTATCCAGTTTGCTCAAAATCATTTATTCTTTTCCCATTGTGTCTATTTGTGTTGTATTGAAAAATGTGTTCAGTGTACATTCATTTGGGTGGCATGTGGGACTCCCTCATTCTGTCCGTTGGGTAGCCTTTCTGTTTTTATGCCAGTGGCAGGTTGTTTGGGTAAATAGAGGTTTTCGTTATTTTATCATTATGCTCACTCAGTGCTTTTAGTGTCTTGCATATGTTAGAAAACAGTTCTTTTCAGATACATGATTTTCTATAATTTTATTCCAATCTGTAGGGTGCCTTTTCTTTGGGTTCACCATTTTCTCCTTGTTTATAAATTTTAAAGTTGTCCTTTGTCTAAACCTATTTATATTTGCTTTTGTTAGCAGGGATTTTTGTTTCCCATTGGGAAATAAAGCGAGCGAAATGGCGAAAATGTTGTATTATTTATGGGTATATTCTTCCTAATTTTTCCTGTCTGCAGCTGGTGTACACAGATTCAAGTTTTCCCAAAATAGACACTCACCCTATGTATTTTCCTGAGAGCTTATTAAGTTTCAGGATTAAACTTAGGTGCTGAGCTGGTTTTGTGTTGATGTTTGTGTTCTTGTGCAATGTAAGGGTCACACTTCAGTCCTCTGCACGTGAATACCCAGGTTTCTCAACTTGGGTGCCTTTGGTGCGTTTCTGAAAAATGTGTTTATATCATTTTGGTCTGATTGTCTGGCTCCTTCATTTGGTCCATTTGGTTACCTTTCTGTGTTTATGTCACTAATGGATGGAAAGGGTCAGGGTAAGTTTTGTTTTCTTTTTTCTTTTTCTGTAGCTTTCCACCTTAATTTGGTAAAAGAGTACCTACATTTACTTTGATTAACAATATTGTGCACACAGTACTACTAGTCCGGTGGTTCATCAGTTGATCATCTATCTCAATTGGGGTAAATGTTAGTGAAGTGATAGAAATAACAAAGACATTTATCAAAAGAGTGCTCTCATGCACAAATAAGTTCCAGTATCAAAAATTCAGTAGGCTGGGCACAGTGACTCACACCTATAATCCCAGCACTTTGGGAGGCCGAGGTAGGCAAATCACCTGAAGTTAGGAGTTTGAGACCAGCCGGGTCAACATGGTGAAACCCCATTTCTACTAAAAATTCAAATATGAGCCGGGCGTGGTGGCACACACCTGTAATCCCAGCTATTCAAGAGCTGAGGCTGGAGGATAGCTTTAACCCGGGAGGCGGAGGTTGCAATGAGCCGAGATTGTGCCATTGCACTCCAGCCTGGGGTACAGAGTGAGACCCCATCTCAAAAAAAAATAATAATTCAGTAAACAAATGTGACTTAAACTATATAAGAGTTATAAAATGGTTAAAAAGTCCCCCCCCCTAATTTTGGAAGGACATATAAGAGTGATATAAGATCATTAACTAGATTGAGACACATAGAATACTACAGACATAGGACATAGGGATATAAAAGTAAAAGGTGTATCAGTGATAGAATTGGTAAGAAAAAAAAACAGTAATACTTGACTTACTAAGAAATTTGTCTAGGGTTTGGCTGTTTTTCAACTATGGGAAAATCCCAAAAGCCAGGTGCAGTGGTGCACAACTGTAGTCCCAAATACTCCAGAAGTTGAGGCAGGAAGATTCCTTGAGCCCAGGAATTCAAGGCTGTAGTGTGAAACATGGTGCCGGTGAGTAGCCACTCTCACTTCAGCCTGGGCAACATAGCATGACTGTGTCTCTCAGAAAGATTACAGCAATTATAACACATTTGTTTCAGCGGAAATGTAACTTTTTTGTGTCTCATTATTTAAAAAATTCAGTCAGTGCACTTTAACTTATAATTCTGATGGTGTTTTTATGATCTTAACACCCAGAAAAGTAATAGAGGCCCATGCTGAATGAGGCCTCAGCCTTCTATCTTTACCTGGGTTCATGTCCCAGCATATGATAGAAGAGCAAATCTAATGCTTTTAAGAAAGCGTTGCAGCAGCTAAAAGAGAACAAATTAAATGGATGTTCTAACATAAATTACAAGCTTAGCTAGCTGATTAAAAACATCAATATATTGCTTTGTGTTGTTTCTCTGAGTATACCATATCTGTGTGCCCATGAAACATTGGTATGCCTCCATTGAGACTTGTTTTCTCTCCTTATTTATGTAAAAGATAACACACAATTTAGTGGCATCAAGTAAAGTGACAGAACATACGATCTTTTGGTTTTCCATTTCTGAGTTACTTCACTTAGAAGAGTGGCCTCCAGCTCCCTCCAAGTTGCTGCAAGAGACATTTCATCCCTTTTGATGTCTGAGGAGTAGCCCATGGTGTGTGTGCACCACAGTTCCTGTATGCACTCAGCAGTCAATGGGCACTTAGGTTGGTTCCATATCTTTGCAGGTGCAGATTGTGCTGTAAACATGCATTTGTACGTGTCTGTGTCTTTTTTCATGTGACTACTTCTTTTCCTTTGGGTAGATACCCAGTAGTGGGATTGCTGGATGAAATGGGAGTTCTGCTTTTACTTCCTTAAGGACTCTCCATGCTGTTTTCCATGCTGGTTGTGCTAATTTACATTCCCACCAGTCGTGTAAAAGTTCCCTCTTCACATTCAAGCTGAGTTGGTTTTCAGCTTTTTAATGGTGGCAGTTCTTGCCGGAGTAAGGTTGTATCTCACTGCGGTTTTCATATGCATTTCCTTGATTAGTGATGTTAGTGCCCTTTAAATAGAGACTTCAGTAGTTTCCTTGTTCATTCTCCATATGAGACCACAACAAGACAGCTAAATTTCTATTTATTTAATTTTGACATGAATGCTCCCTCTTGCCCAGGCTGGAGTGCAGTGGCACGATCTTTGCTCACTGCAACCTCTGCCTTCTGAGTTCAAGCGGTTCTCCCGTCTCAGCCTCCCGAGTAGTTGGGACTACAGGTGCCTGCCACCATGCCCAGCTAATTGTTCTATTTTTAGTAGAGACAGGTTTTCACCATATTGGTCAGGCTGGTCTCCAACTCCTGATGTCAGGTGATTCACCCACCTCAGCCTCCCAAGGTGCTGGGAACACAGGCGCGAGCGACTGCTCCCAGCCGAGCTAACAACAAGACATCTATCGATGAACCCTCACCAGACACCAAATTTTTTTGGTGAGTTGATGTGAAATTCCCAGCCTCCAGAACTCTAATACTGTCTATTGTTTATAACTCACCCAGTTTATGACATTTAGTTACAGCAGCCTGAATGGGCTAAAATGGTATGTGTGTAATTACCTTCTTAGCACTGCGTTTGCTCGAATCTGTAAGTTTTTGGTATGTTATGTTTTATATTTCTTTTATCTCAAGATAATTTCTGACTTTTCTCATGATTTCTTTTTTGATACATTGGCTAGTTAAGAGTATGTTGTTTAGTTTTTCTTTTCTTTTTTTTTATTGAGACGGGGTCTCGCTCTGTCACCCAGGCTGGATGGCAGTGGTGCAATCTCTGCTCACTGCAGCCTCCCTCTGACTTGCAGGTTCAAGTGACTTTCATGCTTTAGCCTCCCAAGTAGCTGTGATTACAGGTGCCCGCCAGCATGCCCAGCTAATTTTTATATTTTTATTACAAGCAGGGTTTCACCAGGTTGGCCAGACTGGTCTCGGACTCTCAACCTCAGGTGATCCACCCACCTGGACGTCCCAAAGTGCTGGGATTACAGGTGTGAGTTACCACATCTAATGTAATTTTTCAAACAATGGAAAAATTTGTGATTTTTTAAAAGTTCTCCTGTTAATTAATTTAATGTGACTAGATATGATGCTTTGTATACTTTCTGTCTTTAAAGTTGATTAATCCTTCTCTTCTGGGCTAATATATTGTCCATCCTTGAGAATGTTCCATGTGCACTTGAGAAAAATGTGTGTTCTTCTGCTGTTGGATGCAGTGTCCTGTGTATGTCTGCTAGGTCCAATCGGTTGATGGTGTTTCGTTTATTTTCTTAATGATCTTCAGGCTAGTTTTCTACTCATTGTTAAAAGTGGCATATGAGGGCTGGGTGTGTTGGCTCATGCCTGTAATCCTAGCACTTTGGGAGGCCAAGGTGGGCAGATCACCTGAGGTCGGGAGGTCGAGACCAGCCTGGCCAACAAGGCGAAACCCTATCTTTAGTAAAAATAAAAAAA